CTCTCTCTCTCTCTCTCTCTCTCTCTCTCTCTCTCTCTCTCTCTCTCTCTCTCTCTCTCTCTCTCTCTCTCTCTCTCTCTCTCTTCTGTTGTAATTCGACCACCACCAAAATCTTCTTCTTTCACTTCCTCTTACGTCCCTCTTGACTGCAAGCGGCGCATTGCGACACAGGTAAAACCTCAATCATCCCAAATTGACAATACCGCTCCATGACGACTTTTCTCCTCTCCTCTTTCTGAAACATCACAGGAAACTTCAAACTTCACAACAACATGATCCACTCATGAACCTGGACAGTTAGTTTGGGAAGGGGAAGCAAAAATCATGGGGCCATACAAAGACTAAGGTCGCAGGACCTTGGCGAACCACACAAACACCCAAACCTTCTTTTCCCTTGCGTCCCTCTTAAATGTCAGCAGACTTTCTTTTACAACCTGCGACCACATGTAGTCTCCCAACAAGCGTCATTCCGCAAACCCCCCATCAGGGCTCTTTTCCTTCCCAGACCCCGATATATCACAACAGGACGCAACTCTACATCATCCTTGCACATGAAGCGCACGAAAGTTCTGGGTTTCGAAAGGGGGGGTGAGGCGGGGGAGAGGTGGGGGGAGGGAGATCGAAGTCCACTTGCAGGGATGGAGACCGCAGCGTGAGCGAGAGGGGGAGGGAGGGGGAGGGGGAGGGGAAGGGGGAGGGTGGGAGGAGAGGGTCCTGGCACAGCAGTGCACTGTGACCTCAACACATGGCAAGACACATGAAACCAAATTACAGCTGCAGAGCGGAACGGCAGCATGTGCACAGAGCACCTGATAGGGCCCCCACCCCTCCTCCAGATCTGGGGCCTTGAAGAAGTTCGTCATTCCAAGTGTGAGTACTCTTTTCAACTGCTCAAAGCTCTGTTTTTATTTGCTCTAAAATGAATAATGCTCTTTAATCACAGGAGAACACTAGGACAATCCATCACATCGATTTGGACCGAGAACAACATTTCCTTGTCAACTAACTTGTTTGCAGTCTCTGCTTGAACACATTCTGAACACGGAATCGTCATCAAGGTCGTCCATTGCCGCAATCAGACAGACAGACTCCCATCCGATTCCGGTCCCATCCGATTCTGGCCCCATCCGCTTCCCGGTCCGATCTGCTTCCCAGCCCACGGCGCAGATCAGCACATCTAAAAGCTTAAAAACCTCCTACTCAAAACTACCCTATCCGTCAACAATCTCGTCAGAAACGTACGGAACCTCCCTCCAAACAAAATCATATGTACACTCTCCATTCCCGCCTTCTCTCTCTCTCTCTCTCTCTCTCTCTCTCTCTCTCTCTCTCTCTCTCTCTCTCTCTCTCTCTCTCTCTCTCTCTCTCTCTCTCTCTCCACACACACACACACACACACACACACCTCCCTCAATTCTTCCAGACCCACCTCTCCCACCTCTTCTTGGCACCATCACCATGGTCCATCATTCAACCATCCACTACTCCCATCTTTCTCCCCTTCTCCCTTGTCTCCCCTTCCTCTCTCTCCCTTCTCCCTTGTCTCCCCTTCCTCTCTCTCCCTTCTCCCTTGTTGTTCTCAATTGCAAGTACCCTCTCTCTTCCCTGTCACCATCACCACTGAGTCATCTACAAGAGAAAAGAACACATTAGAAAAAAACAAAAGTCAACCACTGATGCACACTGCATCTCTCCCTATCTCAAGCCAAGCCAATGTTTTCCCCGATGATGACAAAAGAGACGGATGGTTTCTCTCAGACATCCCATTCATCATCCCTCTCTATCCTGCGCCTTCGTTTAACTGTGGGTACCTCCTCATTTTCACCAAAGCCATTACCTCGCCTAACGTCGTTCTCTCTCCTTCCACAACTTCAACCCCCGCCGCAAGATCATCCCCGCCACGTCTGGTCTGGTATCCCTCCTAACTACACCTCGACACAGGAGATCTGACACAAGCGGCGGCCGGCGGCTTGTGAGTGCTGAAAAGTTGCTCCTCTTCCCCGATCAGTCACAAAAAATCTAAAGCCGCCAAGCGGTGATTCCCGTTTCGCATATCGACGCGCCTTCAACTTTTCCCTTTCTCCGTGCGACGGCACAGAGGACAGCACTTTCCTCGCGCACGGTGCAAGATATACGTCATCATCACACCAAAAATCACTACACCCTCCTGGCACCAATGTGGAAACCCTGGAGTGACAAGTGGTTGCCTTTCCCGAGCATCCCAGCGCAGAGCTTGCTCGACTACAACTTGCATGGTTCCACGAAGCAGCCACTCGGAATGGCCACACGTCTTCAAGAAAGCCACCACCCCGTGGCCTCCAGCACCCATCACCATTCTCCACCGCTGCTCTTCTCAACGTTTCCCCTCCCCATCCCAACTCCTATCCGTTGCAGAGATTCGAAAAATAGGTACCCTTTGAGACTGCCGCGCCTTCTCAAGAAAGCCCCCCCCCTACTGTCCACCCCCTGCTCTGTTCACCACCCCCTCGGCTCTCTCTTCCACCCCTCCTCCCCCTTGTGGAGCTTCAAAAAGAAGGTACCCTTCGAGAAAGGCAGCACCCTTTCAAGAAAGCCCAGTTCCTACAGTATCCATCGCCCTTCTTAACCCCCTCCCTTTTCGACCCCCTCTCGACCCCTCTCTCCTCAACCCGGGGGCCCCCTCCCTTTACCCCTGCCCTTCTCGACCCCCCC